GTGCATTTGTTTCACTCATCAAACGTGATGATTTGCAAATGAAAGAAATAGAAATTTGGAATTATGTTATTAAATGGGGAATTGCAAAGAATCCAGAGTTATCTTCAGATCTTAAAGACTGGACTCATGACAATTTTCAGACTATGAAAGTCACATTACAAAATTGTCTACCTCATATTCGTTATTTTCAAATTTCTGGAAACGATGTTATTAATAGTATACGTCCATATAAAAAACTTCTTGAAAAAAATCTTTGGAAAGATGTATCAAACAAATTAATGGCACCAGATTATCCAATTTCATCAACAGTTTTGCCACCACGTATTGTTTTAAAACCAACATTGCCAACAAGAATAACTGAACAATTTTCAACAGTTATTACTGAAGAACATAAAGCTGAAATTGCTACATGGATTGATGAGAACACTAATATTTATGATATAACAAGTATTCCATATGATTTTAAATTACTTCTTCGTGGAAGCAGAGATGGCTTCACCAAGGAATCTTTTTGGAATTTATGTAATAAGAAAGAAAATCTCGTTGTTGTTATGAAAGTTAAAGGCACTGATGAAATTCTTGGTGGTTATAATCCTTCTTGTTGGGATAAATCACTTCATAATTATAGTAGATGTGATAAAAGTTTTATTTTTTCATTGAAAAATGGTACCATTCAATCCTCTATTTTAAGTCGTGTACAAAACTCACAATATGCACTTTATTCTCGTGATGCATATGGTTTAAGATTTGGTGCCGCGGATCTTCATATGTATAATAACTTTAATCAAGATAACTTTAATCAAGGTAATGGATGTTCTTGTGGAAAGAATGCATATGAAAAATTAATTAGAGCATCAACAAGTTGTTTTTCTATAACCGAATATGAAGTATTTCAAATTCATAAAATATAATTATAAGTAATGATTCATAATCCGCGTTTGTATTTTTTAATAAATAAAGTCGTATTTAAAATTCGGACTCGACCTATAACTAAAAATAATAGGTTATATATATGACATACTATTATGGATTTGTTAAAAGTATTTCAACATTATATCAATTGGTTGTTTGATACTAGAAGTTTTAGAGAAAACCTTCTATCGGACCTGCACATTCATATGACTTGTCGGTGATGTTAGAATGTTCAGAAATATTTTCTTCAAGAAAAACGTGATTTAGATTATCAATATCACGATAACGATAATATGATAAAATATTTTTAGCTTGAATATATTTAATTCCGTGTGGATTTTGATTTGCTTTGATCAAAGAAAATCACAAAGTACTGGTATGTATTTTTAAGTATATTAAATAGCGTATAAATAGTGGTTATTTTTTAAAATATACAATATTATTATGGTCCAAAGCGAGTTTCAATAGATAGGCGAGCATCAGGATTCGGCAAAGATTTTGTAATAAGCTAATAGGGGGTTTCAGAACTAACGTGCGGGAATCTAATTTTGACAGAAATAGATAACGTACTCATTTTCAAATAAGTGATGTGTAAACTTTATGATAAATTTGAAATGATCTTTGTCGTCGAAAAGTTTATTTATTTCGTTAAATGGGAGTCTCTAAACTTCCATTTCATTTTCCGATTCAAACTTTTGATACACAAAATAAAATTTTTTAAACAAACATTTCCAACAATTGTACAAGAAAGAATGACTTGTAAAGCCGATGGAATACTTGATTCTGCGTGGCTATTTTATATCAATAATAAGTACAGGAGCTGAGCATTATTTTTTATTACTAAATACAGAAATATCGATATCGATCGATATCGATACGGATTTTTTTCTAAATTAAGAAATGATCGTTAGGCAATCCAAATCGGGATATCGAAAACATTTTGTGTTATACGTAGAAATGTACAGTAGAACTTAAATTCATGTAAATAAAAAAAAAAATATATATATATATATATATATGTATATTTGTATAAAAATGTGCAATAAACTATAAACACGCGAACACAAGTCAAAATAATTACATGATTCTCGCCCATTAATAAAATGAAGCGAGAAGAAATTTAAAATGTTAAATAATTAAAAATATCATGATTTTAAAAAATGAAATCTCTGGAAACGATACTAACTTCAATCCCGTTTTTCCAAAACAACATATATATTCTCCAGACTTGATCACAATCCACGACCCGTAATTTATCTAATTTTATCAATTTTTGTATGATAATATTATCCTTCAAATTTTCTTTTGCTTCTTTACAGCCCTCATTTTTGGTGTTACCAGAATCTTCGTTCCTTTCATTAGAATTTTTCTTTGATAATTCGGTTAAATCATTCGCATTTATCTTCTTTGTGTGGTACAAAACCACTAAATCTTTTGAAATTTTATCTTTTATGATCATCGATGGTTCTTTTGTAGGTAAACGTTGTAAATGATATCTTAATAATCTAGCAATCGATTTTTGAAATTGACTGAACGAGATATCCCGTGGAATTTGTATTGGAATTTTGATGTATGAATTTGTGGTTTTAAAATGTAATAAATGAGGATAAATATGAACTTTAAAATTAACGCATTGAATCAAACAAGAAATTTGTTCATCAGGTGTTGGATTTGGATGTTTAAGATCACGAAGAGGATATGAGATACTATGATGACGAGAACGAATTATAAGTGCTTTATCGATATTATTAAATGTTGTATCCGCTGAATCCTGCTTGCATAGTGAACGTATTGGATTTACCTCCGTAGGTAAATTTGTTGTCGGTGTTGCTTGATTTCCTCCATCATTTGTTCTAAGGTCATGGTTTTGAGTCGAACGCGCAGTAAGGATACTACTCTCACTAACATTCGACGTACGTCTTTTTGATCTCATAATAAAAAATCCATTTGTTGATGTTGATGAATTAGATATCTTTGACCATATTTTTTTCCAAAAATTGGTTTTTTTTACAGGTTTTGATGTTGGCCAAAATTGAGGTCCGGTTAAATCAAAAATTTCTTGAGATAAAGAACTTGAAGTGGGTGACACAGGATTTTCATTAAAACAAAATTCAGTTAAATTAATCGTTGAAATAGAGAAAGATAGATTGGTAAGAGGTGTCTCAAAACCACCAGGAATAAATTTCTTGTCAAAAATAGAAAATTCACGAATTTCTCTGTATTCAGACATCTCACTATATTACAAGTTTATTTGTAATGTTATAAAGAAAAAAAAAATAAAAAAAAAAAAAAATGGAAAACGTTTCAAAGTCTCCAATGTGCACAAATGTTCACGCAGAGTTAAAATATATTCTGAAAGACCAATCTTTTTTGGCAAGATTTTGAAAGCTAAAAAAAAAAAATCCAATTCGGAGATTCTTGGTATTCAAATTTTCATTTGTCAAAGACCCTTTTGTCTAGCCTATCCATCATCGCTTTATTACGTTACAATAAAAATTATTCAAAAACTTTGTAAGCTCGTCGATCTGATCATTGTTTATATATTATTTCGAGAATTGTATTTGTTATTCTCATCATAGAAACGATGCATTAAAATTCATTGTTAACAGCTGAGGAGAATAGTTGCAATAGCTACGATTATTCTGATAAAATTTTGATCCTTTAATACAATTAAATTTATCGTTATGATGATTGTGAATTTAGCACGTGATCAGGTCCATTGTCTAATATTCAAAAAAAGAAAAAAATTATGATAGATTAAAAAGATAAAAATTTTATTCAATTTTTTAAAAAAATTTATTTTTTAAGAAATGAAAATGCGTGATGTTTTTAAACAATAAGTAATTTTCATCAATAATGCAGCTTCCAACTTGCGATAAATGTATGATGCTGTATTTATTATGCCTTCAATTGACTAAAAATATCTGATTAAAAAAAACTAAACTTGCCCTTAAAAAAAAAAATAGGGTCTTGTACATAAAATACTTTGGAATGAATATATTTAAGGTTTCTGGTACAATATCTAAAATTTCCGACCATTGGTAACTTCACTTATAAATGACTTATTCGTCCCACTCTTCCTGGCAATTGTTATTTGTAAGGCTCATGGCAAATGTTTCTTATGTGATTTATACTGTATAACAAAAAAATATATATATATACATATATAGTATATATAAACATAATTATTGTACAGTATTGGCTTAAATTTAGACTATATTTGTAATAGAGGTTGTGTTAACTCGTAATTATTACTATCATCACTAACTATAATACCCGTTGTAACAAGGTTAGGAAAAAAGCCGAATGAGCCTTAATGGATAATTATCCATTGTGTTCCATTGATTCCATTAAGATCTTTTATCAGCAACTCTGAACGTTAATAATGATTTGGTCGATACGTAGCGGTAGTAAAAAAAAAAAAAAAAACGACTAAAGCAAATTATCGGCTTAGCCGGTCGATTTTTTTTTAGAATCAGCTTGGCCGATGTTTATTACGTTTGATAAAAACCAAGGATTATACGCTCCTAAGTTTTCGAACCTAATTTCCGAATTAAAATTAATATTTATCAGCTTGGTTCGATTTTCCGAGATCAGTTGTAACGTAAAAAAATTCAAAACATTCGTTTTGCAAAAAAATTCAAAACAAACATTCATTTTGCAAAAAAATTCTTTACTATATGACTATATGACACCCCTTCCTAGAAATGAGTCTTTTTGTTTGTTCAAAAATAATAGACCTCGGAAAAATCGATCCTATGTCCTGCCAATTTCTTATAAGCTTAGTCTTAGCGATAAATAATGATCGCCAGGATCACTTGATAGATTAACAACGCAACCAAAAAACTATATTACAGCAAAATTATCATCTGGACAGCTTTACTTAATGAGTGACTATTGTTCATTAGCAAAATTTTGAGGGATCTTGGACAAAATTAGTCAACTCCGGCCCATTCCGGTGTATTCCGACCATAATTTCGGCCGTTCTGTTGAATTACATTTTGGACAATTACTATTGGCGTATAAATAAATTCTTTACCATTCTCAGTTATTATAACCTCTATTGAAGACGCGTAACGATTTACATCGGTCAATTGAATATACAGGGTGTATTGTCGAGTTAATTGTGTATCTGAAGGTACGCTGCCATATCAGCGTAAATAATATGAGTGTCGCTAAAAGAAAATCCGAAAATTTAAATATGACTTATATTTAAATTTTCTGGTTTTCTTTTAGCGACACTCATATAGTAAGTTACGGCTAATAATGCCGTAACTTATTATAGTTTAACTATAGTTTAACCTATAGTTTAATTATAGTTTAATTATAGTTTAGCCTATAGTTTAACTATAGTTTAACCTATAGTTTAATTATAGTTTAATTATAGTTTAGCCTATAGTTTAATTATAGTTTAGCCTATAGTTTAATTATAGTTTAGCCTATAGTTT